GTCTCCCTCCGGCGAGGCGACGGTATAACGTTGCCACCCTGCGCACCATTGGGACGCCGAACGAGCCGCTCCACCGTCCATAATCACCCTCAACGTCCTGTCGATGAGATTAATGTCCCGCCCGCACCACCGACGTCACCGTGCCTCGCAGTGCGGCGCCCCCGCATTTGTTAAACGCCGTAAAACGCCGTTAACGATTACACTCGAGCCTGAACGTGGCGCGCGCGCGGGCTTGCGCCACTAAACGCCGCTTCGATCTATAGCTTATAGCCCCGTCCAATTCAATTCAATATCTTATGCGCGATTGCAGAAGTCAATAACCGGAAAAGCGCGTATGCTGTTAAGAGATAAAATAATGCACAAAGAGAACATACATGTAGAGATTTTTACTTAGCTTCCCATAATATTATTTGCGAAAAGTGCAAATCGATATACGCATTGGGATATTTTCCTTCCGTATTTTTATGTCTATAATTTCCATATTCTTTATTCTAGTAACGCACTAGCAAGCGCGATAACAATAATAATATACCCTATATCAAGGTTCAAGTGCACACAATAGAGCGTCTGTGTTCCCCGGCGTTGTGTATTTTTTCCCCGGCACGTACGATGACAGCACTACGGGCAAAACGGAGAAAGTCGCGCGACATTACGTTTAAATATAAACAGCTATAAATATAATGCCGGCTATAAATATTTATTAATCAATATATACCGTGAGAAACCAAACTGTAACTCGAGGCGAAGCGAGGATTTAATGACGACTAACTGACACCGCGTGCACTTAAGCCGCCATGACGAATATGTTCATCGATCGTAATCACCAGATATAACCACGACCGCGTTGATGAAATTAATGTCATCAGAGTGCACAGGTAGCTGCGAAGTTAGCACGTAAAGCGTTCGAGTGACTTCCTGCCTGTCACTAATCTGTGCGACATTTAACGAGATTGCAGCGAAGAGCATTGCTAATAATAGAATAACAGAATATAGAAAGAACGGACAAAGGAGAATTAAAAGTATAAAGAAAAGCAATTTTTCAAGCAATATTATACGGAAAATTTCTATTTTTCCTTTGAAATAAATTATGGAAACAATAACAGGATTGGAATAATTTAAATCTCTGTCTTCTCGACCTCAGATAGCATTTTCCACGCTAGCACGCAATTCAAAGTGGCATAGTTTAGTCAATGAACTTTGAATAATTCAAGATCTCGCTATTAGGTTCAAATTATCCGGAATACCAGCAATTTTCGAAAATTATCCGTCTAATTGAAATTATTGGAATTTCGGGTTACGTTGAGAGAATTGATGAGCGTACTGAAGCTGCCCAGCCGAGCGGCCGCATAGGCAGCTAGGCTGTATAATATTACTAGGAGGATAATATTGCTTCGATAGTAACCATTGTAGCTTACACTGATAATATAAAGGTATAGGTATGGGGATAGTAGGTAGTTGTATAGGGATACGAAACAAAATACGAGAAGGATGTTGTTGAAATTATCGCGAGGGCTTCGTTCTCGACGGTGATAAAATTGCCATCGGATTTTCAGCGATGTTAATCGCAAAAAGATTCGGTGTTCGAAAGGGAAAGAATTAACCGAAATTGCAAACGCCATCCTCTTTATTTATTTCGGGCAGTGATCACTGAAGGATTGAACGCGCAGGTGGGTCTCACGATCGATAGCAGTGTCGTTGATGACACGGGAGAAAATATTGCCTACACGCGCGAATCCTAGCGCAGCGAAATGAAACAGACAGGAATGACGTGTGTCCGTTCCTTTTCTCTCTCGGATAATTACCATGCGCGATCATGAAAATTAATCATATACTTTCGTCGCGTTAATCAAAAATATTATCTCACCGCAGCTTTTCACGTCTTGATACGCGCCAGCTAGATGCGGACTCTTGTTTGTTGTTACAATTGGATTTTGCAAAATAAATTTTGCAAATTAAATTTGTAAAACATTTCCAACATTTGTAAAACATTATTGCACCTTTGCACGATGCGATCACTCTGTACAACGTAAGTTGATATATTACCCGATATGTATCGACGCGGCTGGTAATCCTATCAAGTGCAATGCATTTGAAACATAATAACTACATCCGTTAGTCGAGTCGCATTTTCTATGGACGTAGCGAAATTTCACGCCTCCAAGTAATTTATATGATGGACATTGCTTTCGATAAATATGATAATTACGAAACGGGGGGAGACGCATAAGCGAGATAAACGAGACCTCGATACATTTTTCATGCGAGTGCATAGACTAGAATTCGTTACAGTAATTATTGCTTTTTTTCCAGACGCTTAAAGGTGTTCTAATTCTTTGAATATACTTGCTAAATATTGCTTGCAACGTTTTTCTATAACTTATATTATCATTTATAGGATGAAAATATAAAAATATTGGCACGTAATTACTAAAAAATTAGGTCAAGTCAAGTCATAAAATTTTCAGAAATTTTCTTTCTTTGCGTATTATCTTTCAAATTTAATTCTGGATTCAACAAAGACGTCGCGAAAGAGGGTAAAAAAAGAAAGAATGATATTGCATTATTTAAACCGAAGGACGTTAGACACAAGCACTGAAATAGTTGTATCAGTGGAAAACCGCTGCAGGGATCAGAGAAGTGAAGTTTCGTAACTTATTGCTGGAGAATTCTTGGTACACCTAGTATTTTGCTCGACCGTGCGAGCGCACAGTAGACAAGTGCGTACTTTCGTGGATCAAACTCGTATCTCACCTCCGTAATCTTTGCTAATACCAACGGATATTCGTAAGCTACCGCTCAAGGCGGATGGTGAGCATAATTAGGTGCGGAAACGTAAATACTTCGCCGATGATCAGTTATTAGCATACCTGCATAAGTATGCTTTAATCTTCCGGCCGTTTGAGTGCGAAGCGGTATTAGCATGAAACAAATGTTGTAAACGCAGAGTTAAATCGAGATTTAGAAAATCAGCGGCTCGAGTGACAGCGGTCCAACAATCAGCTAAATACACGCGTCGCATTTAGACATACGTAACTTTTTATGAAAAAAATGAATATTCTAGATATTATTGCATTACCAAAGAATATTTATTTCAGAAATAGCGAAGTTCTTAATTGTATTATACAATTTAAATTTTTAAATTAATATTGCTGTGATATTTTTGATTTAATATAATTTATATTTGATCTTATAAATATCAACAATAATGTTATAAGTATCAAAAATAAGTATTCCTTATACAAAAAACAAATCACATTTTAATGCATGCAAATCGAATTCGTTATTTCAGACGTGAGAAATTCGCTATTCTCTATAAAACATGTATAGACGCGCAATCTCAAATTTCGGCGTTCAGTAATAATGCATAAATATTAGGCAAAGATAGCGCAACCTTTACAAAGATTCATTTCAGGTTGACCGAAATAAAGGAGATAAAGATAAAGTACAGGATGTGCTAGTTCAGGAATGTCATCTTCCCACATATGAGTTGATCTATATTTTTTGTTCCTTTGACATTTGCATGCGACATAATCTTCGAAAATCAGCTTATTACATTGACATATACCGTATATATACCGTATGAAATGTTTCATAGAAAATTGATATAATGACGGTAGAATCAGTGTCTGCTGTGGAATAGGGAGAATACAAAATCGTCAGTCTAAAGTGCATAAGGACAGATAGCAAAATCCGCCGTTGAGAGATAACGGCTAAAAGGTTCTATGCTCCGGGGTTATACGCGATAAAATTACGCGATAACGGTAATGTGGCGTAAGCACCGTGCTCGTCGGAATATCAAACGCCATATTCCGCACTCGCTCAGGACAGCCGCGATAAATTATTACAGATCCGCACACGTTCCTACGTTGCGCGCGGCGTGTCCAGAGAAAGATTACCTCAAATAGGTATGCCGATCGACTCGACTGCGATCACAAACACGATACTACGCCCGAAGCTTAAATGTTCGGAAGGAGCGACGGGGCGAGCATTGAAGGGAAGTTGCGACTTAAATTTTTGATACAATCGCTTTTGACGTTCACGAGAAAAGTCTGGCCGAGCTAAAAGCTTAAGATCATCGCCGCTCTCGATCGATTCGTTTCCGGCTTCGAGCGTAATCGGATTGCACGTTGAGCGCGCGAACGGACCTCATTCACGAGTTAGAAAGTAACCGCGCGCACGTTTTGTACATCCATACGGAGAAACTCGGCTTTTGATCGCAGTCCCCGTGCATTATGTACTCGAACGAGTTCATCGTACCGTCGTTAAAAATACTGTACTCGTGCAACGACCTGGATCGCAGATCACGCTTCGACAGTCGATCGAGATTACGTCGTTCGCCACGTAACCATTGATGTGTTGAACGTATTTTTATATCTATTTTTATATCTAGTCCATATAAGCGTGCTAAGGGCGGTTATGGTGTCTCGTTCACGTCGATCATGATTATTTTTGCGATTAAATCGATCGCGACGAAATGCCACACGTGGTGTCCCAATTTTAAAGCCACGTATTTATTTGCGTGCAAAAATCGCATGCATGCAAACTATGAATAACAGTTAATCAATGTAAATTTATATTATATATCAAGTATCAGATTTTATATTTGTTATACGGGTATATAAATAGATATTTATTTCGATTTAACCCCTTACGTAAAAAATATCGTCGCGTGATACAATAAATTTGCACTGTAAAAATATTTTCAGCGCATATTTAGCGTTAAATGTAGCCGCTTGATTGCTAAAGTTTTGTTCATACAGATTGTATTTAATATCAGCATAACACGGGAATTGGATAATCACATTTGCCATTAGATGTGCGGTGCGAATACGGGCCATTGAGTTCGTCGATCGTCATCATCATCATTCGTATATTGACGCGACGTGCCATTCGGGTATGTAATTATTGTCGCGTCTCGGGTGCGGGAGAAGAAAAATGCTCTCACGGAGAAGGGTGGTGTTGAGTAGAGCGCGGAAAAAAGGAATATCTTTCACACTCACCTGAATGGGTGAGCTGCTTGAGGAATGCTTCGTAGCGCGCGGCGCGGAGGCGGGTGGTTCACCGCATTTTTCCAAGCTGTATAACGTCGTCGTCGAGTGTTCACGTGTGCCACCACTACTACCACCACCGACAGAACTCACTATTACTATTATTACTATTAACCAGCACCAGCACCACAATAGCAGACGCGAAAAAACGGCTCTTTATTTCACTCCGTATCACGGCCGACGTTCTGCGTCTCGTCGGAACGCGAAATACTTCAGGCTACCCTCGACCGGCCGAGTAACGTTTGCACGCGAATTCTCGATGAACGACATAGACGTCGGTTCGACGACGTGGCAGTCGCGATTAGAGTCTCGCCTGGGCGCTTACGCTCTCGTCGCGTCGACTATTCGATCAGACGCGCGAATAACCACTCGGGCGGCGTGTCTGACTCGTTATTGACTCGTTCTACTCGCGGCGATCCTCTATCGCGATGATGGGGGAAACAGGCGAGGAAAGAGAGATGATGAAGAGAGATGAGTTTCGTCGGGACGAACGAATGCTATATGACAAATCCACGTTGCTGGACGGTGCCGAAACGCGTTCTACCCCTGCTGACGCCGGGGGTGAAACTGAATCCAAAAGCGACTGTCGTGCACTCGTGGGTGCTCGGGCGCATGCTCCGTGTTTTGCCGCTTGGCCTGTGTACGTGCGGCACGTCGCTCCGTACACCTATATATCGCACGGTGTGCCTATACTGGGTGGTCAAGAAAATTCTCCGTTAAGAGAAAATCGTCCCCGCACACTTCTTCGCTACGCGGAGACTCGGACCGGCCGGCTCTCGGGCGCAACCCCCATCGCACGTTCACTGGCGTTCGCTTTCTACCCCTAAATTCGATTGCCGACCCCGACGTGGTCGTAAAGATACGGGAAAGCGGCGCTGGCAACTCGTTGCAAACTCCTTTTTCTCGGCGCGGCGAAATGGCAAGCGGCTCGTTTTTACGCGAGTCACTTGATTTCTTTTTCCCTCCTTTTCTTCTTCTTTTTTTCCTTTCCTTTTTTTTCTATTCTCGCAACGAGGCACGAAATAACGACCCAGCGGCGGTGTGGACTCGCTGCGAAAGGAAACTCACGTTTCGCTGAAACAAGCAGCGGCCAGCATCGTGTCGCACCGACGATGCATTTTGTCGCGACTACAGTTGCCTCGTATTTTCGATAAAAATCCCGCACCTAGCTCGCGATAAAATAGCGACTACGGCGATTTTAATTTAAAACACTGTGTTAACTTGACGCAGCGACGACACATAGACGGGGAATTTCAGCGCGCACCTGCGATTTCGCCAAAAAGATCATCGCCGAGTTACAGGCCATCGACGCTCGAGCACGTCGTCGTGCCGGGTGCGCCATTTTAATAACGAGCATACTTTGAGTTTACCGAATAAAGGAGTACGCCTGTGCGGCGAGTATTCTTTTTCTTTCTCGGCCGGAATAAAGGAAGCAAAAAAAATGAAAGCACGGATTATTTGATCGTCCTTTTATAGACAAAACTTGCGGTACACGCGCGAAATCATTCCAAATTATATTATGCAATTCCGTCCACACGTGGAGAGCTTGCGTCGACGTTACATTTTCTGCATCTCGAACATCTGGCTTCGCGAAAATCTTCCGTGAGAGCTCGCCCAAATCTTCACGCCGCGTTGCCCGCAAGAAAAACCATGTAAAATTAACGAGCGAGATTTTCGTAGGATGATGTAACCTGCGTTTTTCTTTTTAGCTCTTCCACGGTATACATTAATTTCGATTAAGGAGCCGCGCCCACTAATCGTGTACGTGTATAGAAATAATATCTCGAGATATTATTATATTATAAACATTACTTTGGAAGTTTACCCCGTTTTATATCAAATTTCACGCTATTTAATGCAATAAAGATAAGTTAAGGAGAATAAATTAGAATGGAAATAGCTTCGCTAAATTTCTCGTATAAGCTATAATGAACACGCCGCGAAAAACTCTTCATCGTAATGAATATAGTAAAAATTCTTCTTCGTGCGATATAAATCTGCGTGGTTATCTTCGAAAGATTTTACAAATAAATTAAAATGGGATAAATTGAAAATAAGTTATATAATTCACGCTTGTTTACAGTAATAAATAATATCTCACTTGCATTTCTCATTGCGTAAATTAATATTAAATTTTTGTTTAGAACGTACAGCTTGCATGAATAATATGTTTTATTAATATATAATAGAAGTATGAGATAATAATATTACACATTGTTGCAGTCTAACAGCAACAGCATGCACAATAGTGAAATTGTGCAAATTGACATTTGAAACGTGAAAATTTAATCATAGAAAACTGACATATCTCCGCACGACGAAACGAGCGAGAACAATGGAAAAGTTGAACTTGTTCGTCGCTGGTTGCCGATCACAAATTACACTTCGACACATATCGCCGAGTTTTTGGCACATTTTCTCGCAGCAAAACAAACTTTCCTTGTTCTCGATCGTAAATGACGCGAAGGGGAAAGGGAGTTTCCTGGACGTCGGATGGACGTCGGGTGAGCTCGACACTCGGGGAAAGGAACCCCAGAAGCCGCAAAGGAACTCGATCATTTCGTATATATCTATATAATACGTACGAAGCTTGTATTCACAGTCGCCGCAGACGTCTTGCCTGCGCGGGTTAGCAAACCCATTTCCTTCAAGCTCACCGAAAGCCTCGGAGGAACGAAGCTTTGAATCTTCCTTCGTGAATATGGGCTTCGGCGGAAAAGAAGACGACGACGCGGCGTCTTTGCGACTTTGATTAAAGATTTAACTCGCGGGTATATAACGACGGTTTCACGAAGAGGATCTTTCAATCGCGTTTATCTCGCGTAAAAAGCGAGCGTGGTAATTATCGATTGTTCGCGAAAAGGGCCATTGAAAAAAATTTCATTTTCACACACCTCGAGATTACTGTCGTCATGTTTGAGAAAACAGCGTTAAGCCGCGGCGTGGAAAAAGTGCACCTCTAGTGCAAAAATCGAGAGGAAACAGTTAATATTAAATTAAAACGCCAACAGCGAACGAACTCATTAACATGCCGGAGAATTTTATTCGTTTTTCTATCAGAGTGGACGGGAAGAGCTGTCTTCTCAAGAGAATATTGCACAAAGCCAGCTGAATGTTCGTCGAACGCCTTTATTATACATTTTATACGCGAGAAAAGACAGAAAATAGTGCTGCGCGAAAAAGGTGGTGAAAATGTAGTTTGTATTTTGTGTAAAGCAGTTAATCGCTCACTTCGCCTTTGCTAATGAGTTCTTCATTCTCCCGAGCTCCGCGCCAAGAGTGCACTATGCATCTTGCAGTATTTAGCTGCAAACTGCAATCGGCCACGGAGTATACAATTACATTTGCGAAATCACGTGCGATTTCACAATATCGGCGTATAAGGTCAGAGGGAAAACGGCGGGAGCTATTTTCTAAAATCCGCGAAGCCGCGCGAGACCTTCCGGCTGGATGGAAACCCGACCCGCAAGATCACGGGAAAGCTCGATCACTTTGCCGGCAGCTTTTCATCCAGGCCTGGCAAATCCATTTCCGTCGACTCCATAATCGCAACCCGTAGCTTCGAAGGGATTGCCGGCACCTCGCTGAAGATGCGCGGAATGGTGCGAGGGCTAAAGACAAGATCAACAAACGGCGTGGACGAGGAGCCCCGCCGAGAAAGGAAACGACTTCCTATTTTCTGGCGGTTAGATCGCCCTCTCGCTTCATGTATCCCAGAACACGGGTCGGAGAGTGACGTATATGGCCATCAACAGGCCGAGGAGCTTTTCACGATCCTCACTCGAGATACAGTCGTTATGGCCGGGAATCGGAGCAATCAACTTGACGACAGATCGGCGTCACGATCATCCAGGTTAAATTAAAGCCATCGCAGCATTAACAGCCTTAATACATCGATTGATGTGTGAAAAATTAGGAGTGAGATGCTAAACCGATACCTAAACGGCACTTTTATTTTTATTTTTTGTGGTGGAGAAAGTACTTTATATATATATATATTTAACAATAACGCGTTGCCAGATTTTTTCTTTGCCCTATTTTAACATTCTGGACTATTTCTTCGTTTAAAATGTAAATTGCTAGGCCTATAAATTTTTATAGTACAAGATTCCAGTGGCTATAACGAATGAAATGTACAATTAATCGCTCTAAATCATTTTTAAAATTCTAGTCAGCGAAACCGTCTCTCGCAGCGTTTATTTAGTCATCGATTATGAATAAAAAGATCGATGTGCGTCATTTTGCATTGTCACTAACAGCACTCGGTTAAGAAGACGCGGATATCGACGACGGCCAAAACAGCCGCATGGTCCGCTTTTCCCTCTCGGTCGTTCCCGATCCGCGACGAATTTACGACCAGCCAGCGCGCTATACGTCTCTCCCTCGAGACTTTTCCGTTGCCTCTATCTCGTTCCTGCACAACCGCCCACGTTTCCTGCGCCGCCCATACCCCCTGTCATCCCTCCTCATCATCTCTCATAAACGAGTGTTCGTAACAAGTAGCTCGCAGCTACGGACGATAAGTTGCGGGACAGGAAAATAAATGTATTTATTTACCGCAACGTTTTTATATTCCGTTTGATTGCAAAATTGAAGTTACGCGTAATATAGGAAAAGCGCCGTGCTTCACGTATATTTATATTTTACGAAGTACAAATCTGGTACGTTATTTCTGCATGCTGGAAACACCTGGGAACCTTGCGAACCGGGCGTAGGCACGATACTTTTTAGTTGTTTTTCTATGAGCACAAAATTCTTCTATTTATGTTTTCCTCGCGTTTATGGATTTAACAGCTGAAATTTGCTAACAGAAAAATGGTTTTTGTTACAGATATGCGTATACAGTGTACTGCAGTCGGAATTTTGCCACAAAAGATGTAAGTACACATTGAAACAAATTTTTATATTCCTTCTTTATCAATTGTCTATACATACAAAATATTAAATAGAAAAGTATATACCGTACCGCTATATTTACGCATGAATGTTCAATTAGTGACGAAATATGAAGGGATAAAAAATGGTGTAGCACATGGTAATAAATGTGGCGAAAAAAGTAACACAGTTAACACAATTAACACTTAACGCAAGACGAATCAACGCGAAAGCTCTCTGCGTGCACGGTCAAATTGCCGTGACAGCAAAAATCGTGAAAAAAGTATCGCGAAAGCACGACGTCCGGTAGATGCTCGCGAAGCACCGTAAAAGTTCACGGTAGGAAAGATAAAACTGCGTCGTAACAGTGCGCAAACTAGCAACGTGAACTTTCGAAGATAAACTACCTGATCCGCTGACGACCCTCAAAAACTTGCTTTGCAGCGTATCTTGCTTTCTTGTAACATAAACGCACGCCGTCAAACAGTCGATTTAATCCAAAATGACGTACAATTTACGCTGTAAAATTCTCTCTCGTAATTGCGCTACATAACTTAATCGTTATCTAAACATGGAAAAATGTTGTTTTTTAAAGAGATCGGAGCATTTCGTCTGCGTGTAATAATAAATAAAAGCAAGCTTATTTAAATAAATAAATTAAATATAATTAATACAAGCCAGTTTGTGGCAGAGTAATGAAAATTGTAAGAAAGAAGAAATATTGCATCGTAATTTTTTATCTTAAAATTGGCAATGTTTATTTTTAATTATTTGATAATGATTGCTTATTTTATAATTAACAAATTTCACCACATACTATTGTCGTCGATGATATTCTGAATAAACCACGCAACATGTTCTTGATCGATACGTGATACACACCGAGAACGCCGCCTCGTTATACTGTTGCATTTATTTACTGGAAAAATAAAATATTGCTGAGCGAAACGCGAGGTGTATTCCATTTTTATGCTCGTTTCTTCAACATAACGAATACTTCTCGCTATTTATCGTCGTTTTATATGCATGTTTATCAGAATTGTAACGATGTAGCTTCCGTTGTGCGTTGCACCTATTCCATTCTTCTTAAAGCTGTCTTAATCCGTAGTTAAGCGCGAGGTAATAAACTCTACGGCGGCTCATTAAGGTGGACTTTGTGCTCTTTTTATTCCGCGATGGCACAATGTATATTAACACTCGCAGTAAATATCGTTCTTATCGGCACGTTTCGCCACCTTGTTAACGCGCATTGATTTTTCTTGCCGTGCCGACCAGCGGCAGAGTACGCGTTGGGGGTACGCGCGGGCGGTCGCGACGAAGCTCGTGGATTTTGATAAATAGCGTCCATCCCGTAAACGGTCCAAAAACGCTCGCCGCACGTTCTGTTAAAGCCAAATAATTCAGGCACTCTGTGCTAGCCGGTCTCCGCGCCATTATGTGATATTCGCCAACTATACCAGTCGCTTCCACTCGCGCAACCCGACCCCCTTATTCCGGCTATTAATCTCTCCTAGGCAGTCCTGTGGAAACTCAATGTACCAAAACACGTCACGCCGAAAAAGTGCACAATCGCAAGTCGCGCGTAATGCCTCGCGTATTCTCGTCGTACATTTAACACCGGCGCGACTAAAATGTTGAACCGCCATATACAACGGTCGCATTTAGCGCCGACGGGAGAAAAGAATCAGACGGCTACGTTTAACGCTAAATGTATGACGGGAATATATGAAACCGCACACGTCGCTTCGTGCTTTCCATTTTTATGTCATCACTTAGATTACGCCGTAATCCGTAGTAAGATCGTGCGCTAGACGCGACACGGCCCCGAGTGCGCCACGCTTTATATTTAAAATGGTTAGTAAATCTAAAAGTCGTAATGGCTCGTACTAAAGATGTCCGCGTCGAAGAAATAGAATTAAAACTTGAACGTGTTCTACAAGCCGGTGCGCGCCCAGTTTGAATAAAAAAGTGAAGCGAGCGAGAGTTACGCCGGGGTTATATCGGACGGAATTAATTGAAGCACTTTAGAAGACTCTATCGCGTAGCAGTTTACATAAGAATGTTGTGCAGCGAATGGTTCTGCCGCCCTGCAATGTAATAACGTACTCTAGTATTCCGAGAGAGCTTTATACGCTAGTCAACTTGGAGGACGCAGTAATTCTTGATATCCGTGTTTCTGATACTCACGATATCATCGATGAAAATTGTTTGACAGGAATCCGGAGAATTTTAGTATCACATAACCGATATCGCATAAAAACACTCAATTTCTCACAAAGCAAATAAAACATTTCTCCGAATGGTAGTAACTTTTTATCGCAAAACTTTTTACGCTTGCAATATTGAAAAATATTCCGTTAGAAGGGAACGATTTATTTGCGTTTATAAAGCAGGATTGCTAAATTTGTGATTCGATCTGTTACTGACATCCAGATCGCAGGAGTTCATCGATCAGCTTTGTTCTCAGAACGTAAAATATATTTCGGTTCTATTTTTTTCGCGGTTTTTTTTTAATCTAAATCCAACTTCTACTAGTAAAACTGGTACCGGCAAAAAGTCGAGCCATCCATCGTGCAATCGATTTTTCTATCTACGGGTTTAAGCACGAGGAAATGTCCTGCCAGTCACGTGTCCCTCCGATCGATATTTAATAGCGGCTGTCACGGTTAGGAATTCGATCGTAAAACTTTCATCTCAATGGCGCTGAACTCGCAAACTGCATTGAAGATCTTATCGGCGACTGCTGCAGGAATAGCGACATAGCGGGCGCGGTGTAAAAACAGTTCGTCGTCGATTCTCGTCGACGTGGCCGATCTCGTGACTACCTCAAAAGCGAATTAATAAACGCGGAATTCCTAAATGACATCGCCGCCGCACGTTTCGCGTGTATTGCGCGGTAACTCACATACAATATATTCTCGTGTGGACGTACACCCCCCCTGCCGGGAGGAAAGATAGAACGCCGGATCAGCGTATTCTCGCCGATAGCTGTTATCGATAGTGCGTCGCAAACGCTTCAATAGCTGTAGTCATGGAAGCTAAGGTCTAAAGCAAACACGATCAACGGCTCTCAGAGTGATACAGTGCGCGGATTGTCTTCTGTGTACAGGTAACTATTATCGCGCGAAAGCGACAGACGTTAGGCGGAGCTTGATTAATTTGTATCTGCGCCAATTAAAGCTGGATATAACTTGTTTACAGTTTACTATGCGAAAGTAAGCGATGCCGACGTGTTTTTTATAATTAATGATAAAAGTGAATTGATGAAGTGTCAATAATCAATTAAACGAGCGACATCAAATTCTCAGAAAATCAGAAAAACTGTTTTATTGTGATATTATTTGGCATTACCATTTTTTTAATTATGTAAAATGTAGCAATACCAATATTTTTCTGTAAAATTTAAAATTTTCAAAGAAATGTGTAAGTTTCCTTTGAGTAAACAATTTAGTAATAGTTTAGTAGTAGTTTTATTATCTTCTTTTGTTTATGTCATAAATATATCGGAAAAGAATTTTTATTAAAATACTTGTTAAATGCGACTTCTCTACGTTCCTATTTGTCTTTTATCAATTTGTTTAAGAAGATATGAGAACATTTTTTACAGAATTATATTAAAAATGACGGAAAAAAATATTTAACAAGAGCATATAAAAATGTACGAAGAAAAAAATAAATTATAATATAATAACCATTGATTACTAAGACACGTTTGCCTCACAGAAACATTCTAAGGCGCGCGAGCTTTTCAAATCAGCCGTTTCGTATGCAACGATACAATAAAAGCTTATAGGGCATCAAACGCGGATTGAAATATGGAACGTCTCCAGAATAATCCGAAACCGGTTAAGGGAATCGCGGGAACGTATCCGCGGCAGATGCTTTCACAAGTGCGAGAGTATCATTCAGCCAGCGTTTGCAGGCAAATGTGAGCGAGGCGTCGCGCCGCGCGGCATCTCGAGAGGTATGCGACAAAGTGTGCAGGAACGAAAGCCGGTGCGAAGAGTATACATTTCCGTGTCACGCGATGCCTGGCGACACTCGCGCATTAAATCTATTCGGAACTTAAGCTCAGTTACGACGTAAGCGGAAAGGCAAGGAAGGAGACAGACGGAGCAAAGGCGAGTCTGACGGGACGAGAAAGGTGAAACGTGGAGACGAAGCACGGGGTGGAGTGGAAAGTTATACGCGAGAGCGCGTGAACGGGCTTGTCCGTCCACGCGCGCTGGGACTCGCGCGCGCGCGCACGAGGGAGAGAGCAATACTTCTGCCGCCCGGCAGCCAAGGGGGATGCAAACGTCGCGCCCGAGACTGAAATACTAAAGTGAGCTTAAGTGCGTTGCCATAGGGACCAGAGGGGGTTGAGAATCGGCGGGGTAAGTAGGTAGGTAGGTAGGTAGGGTCGGGACGCGCTCAAGTGTACCGCGTGCACGACGACAACGACGATGACGACGACGAAGACTTCCATGCCACCGGCGGCGTCTCGTCGTGCCGCGTCTCGCCATGCGCCCCTTCCATTTCTTTCTTTCCCCATCCACTCTGCTATTTCACTCGACCGGGTATCCCGACCGAGTGCTCTCTCCTCTCCCCGCGACAGCCAGCGCGCGGGAGCCACTTAACTGTCCGGAAGTAAGTGCGATCGAGATTTTCATGGATTCACGCGCGAAATTGAAATCCTCTCTCCGTGAGATCAGCCGCGAATGCTGCGAGCGCGCCGTCGTGCCGCGCTGTCACTTCCTCGAAAACGGGACGGCTGCTCTTACTTTTTACGAAGTACGAAAGAGGAGAGACGGCGAGAATGGTCGGGTAGTCTTAGGAAAGTTCTTCGGATAAGTGGATTCGCGCGTGGCCGCGCGGCGGAGTTCGGGAAAAACGAGACATACTCCGCCGTACGTCGTTATTTGGTCGGGTTATCTGAATTCAAATTTGCCCGAAGTGCCGCGCGCGTGAATAAATTACCGCGCGGCAGAAAGGCGTCTATTATAGTTTCCGCCGGCGAGGA